GTAATAAACAAAAGTTTTCACGGAAAATTCCTGAGGGGATCCTTACCCTAAATTTTTGTCAAAAACTTTTTTGCTCAAAAGTAATGTAGCTCAAAAGCATGTCACTCGATGCAGTTTTTCACGCTGCTTCGAAAATGTATAAATTATCTGCAAATATTACTTTAAGGGCGAGAAAAGTCAGTTTTAGCTGGAAAACCAAGAGTTTTTCGAAAACCTATAACTAATTGTGGAAAAAGTTGTGAGATTTTGTGACCTCAGTATAGATTCACAATGATCTGAGGAACATTTTGGCGTAAAAATAAGTGAGTTTGTACCAGAGCTGATCACCTGCATGGTAAACTGCAGGCAGCGCAGGCAGATTGCAGTTTGCAGGTGAATAAAAAAAATTTCCACTAACGGCCGGCAGAGAAAGAAGAATGTTTTCCTGCCTGCACTCCCTGCAGGGGAGAAGATTTTACCTGCAGGGAAAAACGTTTTTGTGTGGAGAATGAGAATAGAGAGGAGACGAAGATAAATACTGATTACACTGAAGGTCAGAATGATCTCTTAACGAAAAGAAACTAACTAACAGTTTTTTTTGTATATCTACTAAACACTTTAAGATGAAGGAGAGAAACGTTTTATCCGTAATCGCTTATATCATTTGATATGTCATTTTCCTCTAATATAATGGCCTAGACCGCATCAGTGTAGAATTCTTATTTCTCTATCTTAAATGAATAAAGTTTAAACTAAACTAAACGAAAAATATAGAATAAAGAAAAAGAATGAATTTCGTTCTTATTGTATGTCGACTGATGTTTCTTTAGTATGCGCACTAGGTATACTATATAGAAGATGACAAACGACTGTAACGATAACAGAAAGATGAAAATATAAAACAAGGATAGTGAATCGTAACTGGTGATACAGTCTATAATTATCAGCGTGTAATACAGAATGATAATGGTCACTAGAAAACAAAATTGTTATACCTCGCCTTAGGGTCCACCTGCAGTCAGCCTGCAGGGCAGGGTAGTGCAGAAGTTTCCACCCTCGACCTCTGCCTGTGCAGAACAAAAGATTTTTTTGCTAACCTGCAAACTGCAACACGGATAAATTTTATTTTGCTCCTGCGCGGTACCGCGCACGGGTGGAAAATTATGCAGGTGAGCTCTGGTTTGCACCTCCGCTAACTGGCGCATTTCGATTACAAGATCTTGGCTTCTTGAATTTTTTCAGTAAGATCTTGATTCAAGATCTTCGTCAGAAAATATAAGAATTCAAGAAATTTCAAGAAGTCAACATCTTGATCATCTTGTAATTTCTTGACTTTGTCTATCAAGATCTTGGAAATTCTTGAATCATCGTTTTGTTTTATACTCTTGTGTAAATATAAGTGCGAATATTCTCACACTTAGAATAAATTCGAATTTTTTCCTTTTTTGGCCATAGCTGTTGAAGGAAGAATCTATGACTCTGTATAGTCGTATATCCAATGGCTACGGCTGCCATAAATTAAAACAAAATGTGAAGAAAATTAGGCACTCAAGCTCTTCCAACATCTTGAGTGGCTCTCCTCAAGATCTTCGGTACAAGAAGTTTCACGAGAGACAGCTTTCCGAAAATATTTAGATCAGAAATAAATTTTCCGATCCCAACGGCCCAAAACAACAAGTATTTTTACCAGTCGATCAATATAGCATGAATACGATAAGGTGGAATGATAGCTTTTATGCCTTTAAACAAGCTGTTAACCGAAGTAAATTTGATACTATTAAAAACTTTCAAAACCGCACTTTCATTTTTTCACCTAAGATCTACATGGTTGCCCACGGTGACACAGTTATAAGTGTCTTATTCGTCAATGTTCTGATTGATTTATGCTTTAAAATCCGAACATTACAGGTAGGGAAGAAAAGCAAATTTCTTTTACGGAAAAATGTAGTTTAAACTTTTCTTGAACCAGTACAAAGTCGAGAATAAGAATCTATATTTCCATTCTATAATCTTGTTTCCTCAACTATCAGAACACAAAAATAGTTTTCAGCGAAGCTTGATCGACTACATAAAATAGATCTTTACCCACTAACTGCCAAAATAAACTTCGCTCTTCTGACCTTTATTCTCCACACCAATTGAAGTCGTGTAATGGATCGATCTATTATTATTAAATCTTTTCTTTGTTTCGGTTAAAGCTTTTTCATCCGTGAGAAGTATAGAATGTATATTTGCGTTGCACGAAAACAAATTTTGTTATTGTAGGATTATCTTCAATAGCGCTCATGCCAATAGTATACTGATATGGGGACTCTCACCCAGTTTTTCAGAGAGAAAATAACGTTGAGAGAGAAAATAGTGTTGTTTGCTAACAAGTTACACGTACGTTTTAGAAAAGTATACGTTGACTCAGACGTGCGAGATTACAATTAAAAAATGTAGTTCAACACAAAAAAAGTTCAAACATTCCTATTACCTGTAGAATTAAGAATTCTAGAATTATGAACTTTACTTGTTCAGATTTTTCTAAAATTCTGAAATCTAGGGGTGAAAGTGAGGATGAGTGTGAATAAGCAACTTTACATGTATGTAAAGTTCAAAATTCTAGAATTCTTAATTCTACAGATAATAGCAATGTATGAACTTTACATTTTGTAATTGTAATCGGGCAGCCCTCTGTTGACTACTGCTACTGTGTTTACTCTTTTTTTAATTTTGTTCCCTCGTCGTCAAAAGCCCAAAGTAGACAACTTCTCTCACCCAAAATGAGGATGACTAAACGTTTGGACTAGCCGCCTACGTTGCGCCTTCACTGCTGATTTCCACTCGACTAGAGTAGTAGAACTGATTATTTGTTACATTTTAATTTCAAAATTTAAACTTTTAAAACACGGTTTGTCATAAACATATAACTGAAATAGATGAAAAATTGTATGTAACTCAACTTTAACGACATAAAAATCAAAAAAAGTCAAAATCAGTTTTTTGCATTATAAAGTTAGATTTCTAATGGTGGATAATATGCACCAACACCCATCCAGTTTATCTGCCACTTATGTTTGAGCGCATAATTTAACAAACCTGCACTAGTTCCACCACTATAAAAAAAAGAAAGGATCATTAAACATTGATTAAACGCTGTTTTCCTTTTTATATACTCACTAGCTAACTTGCACCACAGTACTACTTGCACTAAAAAACACAAGAGAAACGTTATTTACTATATGGTCATTTACACTATCGGCTAAAAATGTGCGCCGCGCACAGATCATTTGTGATTTAAGCAAATATTAGCTGTAAACTCCAGAGCTAGGTATGCACCAGTTAAAAACTGGTGTTGGGGCATCCGGGACAATTACTGTACATCAGTTATCACGAATCACTCAGAGCTGTGGAACATTTTGTAGAAAAATGTTTCTACAAAATGCATTTGTTAAAAGGAATCATTTCTGAGAAAAGGTGCATTCAAAAATACATTAAATCATGGAAAAGAACCTGTTCGAACAGTTATGTCATCGTGCTTTGGTGCATTTTACAATGTATTAGATTTTCTTACAAATGACTTTTTGAATCCTTTTAAGAAATGTATTTCGTAGAACATACATTTTTCTACAAAAAGATATGTTCCACAGGTCTGAGTGGTTCGTGATAACTCATGCACAGTAATTCTCCCGGATGCCCCGATACCAGTTTTTCACTGGTGCACATCTACCTAGAGGTATGAGCACACCATGTGATCTTCCCCTTCGATTGGTTGAATCAGAATGTAGTTAAGGAGGCATACATTGTTTTAACCAGGACTAAAATACTTTTTCTCTGTATACTTACAAAATATTCGGTACTGGAGCCAAGTATATTCGAAATCCGGTTGGTTTTGGATCATAAATTGCTGTTACACCCGACACTTTCCAATGATACAGCTTACCTGCTATACTTGTAAAATACATTGGTGTATCTTGAAAATTACATGGAGTTGTATCGACATCAATGTAAATTCCAACTTCTTCCTTAAATTCTTTCCAGTCAGACGTTGACACTCCGGTACAACTCGGTGTGGAACTATAACTTGTTACATTGTGGCTTCCATATGAAAATGAAATGCTAACACTTAATATCAAAAGTAAACAGCAGTACATTGTCTAAAACGTAAGTATCATTTTATTAAGATCTCCATACTGTAGAAGCGACTGTGTGAGAGCACTATTGAGCCTACTGAATTCATTCGAAGCAACAATGTCTGCTTTTTCTTTTGAAATGCACTTACTTGTATTCGTTGAAATAGAAGAATGAAGAAAATAATTGAAAAATAGGTTATTGGGGAATAAGAAACAGTCTACGTTAGAATGTGTCGATTAGCTTCAGGTACAGTGGTTTATATAGGTTTTCTAACAATGCGCGATTGATTAAGCTGTTCAGCTGATTTTTTTCTTCGTTTTTAGACCTTCTCACACATCTTATTCGTTATTCGAGAGGCCGTTTGTATAGTCGCCTGTATAGTCCTTTCTGTTCTTTCGTCCGTCGTGACCTCTAGATGGACAATATAGATCACTGATGACGGTAGAAGTAAAGAAAAGAGAAAAGATAACGTAGGACGGTAAGGAAATCTTTTTTCTTACCGTACGAAACGAAGGAGTTACGTTTATTACGCGAAATTCTTAACGTAAGTGAATCATCGTTAACGAAATAACGTCAAAGTAGATATAATACATTTATGTACAGACTATACATAAATACACTAGGCAGTCAGTATAGACTAAAAAATCATACTATACGGTATACAGTATAGAGCGAAAGAATAATACATGAAAGTCCAGCATCCAGGCACGCACACAGAGAAAAAAAAAGTCTGTTTAGCAAGAAGTGAAATGACAACGAGAGAGAGAACAAAAGGACACGTTATTCTTCGTCTATAAATCTTTTTGTTGTACAAATATAGTCTATTACTGCACGATATATGAAAAATCTTGTTTTGAAAGACATACATTTAGTAAAACAAGATCAAGACTAAGGGTAGGGGCGTTTTTTGTCATTGAGATTTCCTTTTTGAGATATAAGAATTTTTGTTTGACCGTGGAATAACACCCACTCCAGTAGATAATACTGAACTATCTCTGTCTTTCCACAAGCACACAAGCCTGTTGTTGGCAATGATTTTTTGTCTAATGTTTCAAAGCAAAACGAATCACATAAATTCTTTGGGATGATTCGCATATGTCATAATGTTGCTATAATAGCAGCGGTAGCAGTGTGCCTTGGAAGGACGACCTAGCGACTGCTCTAAACTGCATAAAGCGCTAGACGGGAGTGATCAAGATTCAACGCTCTGAACCAGGCCGCCCAGCTGTACTTGCATTCACCCGCTACTATGTACATATCCGAAACAGCCAAGGCCGT